ATACAGGCTGTGTTAAAAAAAAGCAGGTTGTCATTATGCTAAGTTACTAGTGATTATATCCAGGTTTTGTGAATGTAGCAGATAGTCTGTACTGTGACTTCATCCTGCCTGTATATGGGACCACTGTGACACTAGGTTAGGGGTGGGCAAAGTCCAGCTGACAGCAAACTCCATTTCCTAGCAGTTCCCTGCCTGTGTCATTACAGCCAGTTTCCATGAAAACCCCATGAGAGGTGGGGCTGTGACACCAGGGGGGGTTGGCATTTCTACAAAGACTGGCCCAAACAGCACTGGCAGAGCACGTCTGGGTGGGGAGCTGCTCCAGCACTTGGGCCAGGATTTTGTGGCGGTGATAGCAGGGTACAGAACCAGGGCAGAGCCACAATCTGCTGCCTGCACACCATGGGCAGGGACGTGCAGGCAGCAAATGGTTGGTCTGCTCCACCAGGACATGTGGGCAATGGATTGCAGCTCTACTCTGACCACACTGTCACTACTGCAAAATCCTGGCCACAGCCCTGGAGCAGCTCCCTGCCAGTGTTGCTTGGGCCAGTCTCCGTGGAAACCCTGGCCCTCTGCTGTTATAGCCCCACCCCCCCTGGGGCCTCCATGGAAACCAACTGCAGCGATGCAGGTAGGGACTGCTGGAAAATAGAGTCCAGCTGCTGACAGGATCTGCCATTTTGCCCACCCCTGCATTAGATCATTATCAATCACCCTCTTCACCTAAAGCTACTACCTAGGTCTATTCAGGGCAAGAAGTCAGAAGTATGTAACTGATTTTGGATAGAGTTTTCATCAACTGCCACTGGTTCATAAAGGGTCTGTAGCAGTATGGTTACCAGGACATGAAAGCCTGAAAGTCTTCCCACTGAAATCATGTTTCCTTTGCTATGCACCAAAACATTACTGAGTTAAAATTATGACTCCAGCTGCTGCATTTCTATTGGTCCTGCACGCAGGAATCCTCTTACTGGCACTGCTGTCAACAAGCGCAGAATGGACAAGATCACAGCAACTTCCCTCTTGGGTAATTTCAAATCTGATGAGCCAGGATGAAGTACAGCAATTCAAATGCTTAAACAGCTTAAATCAAATACAATACCCACCAAAGCATCTGTCTGTTCAATGCTTACAGGAGATTTTAAGAACATCATCCTGCCATATGATTTGCACTTGTTACTCCTTCTAACTTCTGCCAATACATGGTGCAAGCAAATACATGCATTACTATTTGTAATGCATAGCACAGACTAGTGGGATAAATCAATGGAGGAATGGAGAGAAAACAAGGATCAAGCCTTTGAAAATGCTGCCTGAGCCACAATGCTATTTTCAGTTCACATATCTTTCCCATCTTACTCTAAATATTCTCTCACTTACTTGGAAAGTTAAAGCAGACACTGAACATTGCTCAACAATGAAAAAGCATGTACCCTGATAGATGAATGAATAAATAAATAAATAAATAAGTATTTCAAAAGATAGGCTTATACACACTAAGGTGGGAAAAGACTTCTAAAGGCACCGAGTTAAAGTAAAGCAACTTGCCAACAGCTCTCTCTCTCATATCAACAGCCTTCAGCTCATCTGCTTTCACTGACAACTTCACCAGTCCTGTCTTACAGACAGAGGTGATCTTTTGGGTAGACTTGGGCGATTGCAGGTCAAAAAAATAAGGATGACTTAGTAATTAAGGTTCTTAATTAGGTAGAAATTTCTAACAGAGAGGTTTTTTTGTAATGATTTGTGTCACTATTTCCCGTGTAGTCAGTATCCACTGTTTTTATTTCCCATTGCCATAGTAAAAAGGAAGAAACAATGTGCAAAAGCTTAAAAATATGATTGCATTAACACAAAAACTTAGAGGGGAAATTCGAAGATGGGTATCAACCTACGTCAGCCACACTGCTCCACAAGTCTTCCAAGCAAAGGGACAAGACATTAAGAAAGTTGCATCTCTTTTGTGACAGCATATGAGACTGGCTGGTAATTTATATAGTCCAGAGTTTCAGAATTTAGATTAAATTCCATTTTCAGTGGATTAGAATCAAACATGTATTTGAACTTAATGTTAAAAACTTCTCAAGGATTTAAGAACTATTACAGTTTTTTTTATATAGAACTATAAAAGGTATTCAGACAATTTTGAAAGTCAGTGGATTCTACTTTAATTGAAAATAAGTGTCCCTTTAGAATGACTATTCCATTGTGTAAACCCATATTTAAGCAATCAAAAAGTGAGTAATGGAGCAGTTAGTCAGCTCTTTAATACGTTACCTCTGAGCATATCAATTCCATTGATTTTACGATGGGCCTATTCCACATAATGGACTAAGCTTAAGATAAGAATCTGAAAGAAAAAGAGGCTTTAAGAGAGCTGGAGGGAGAAAGTAACAAAATCCTTTATGATTTACAAGTCACATGGTTAACACAAAACAAGTTTGATTATGGAAAGTTACACTGAGAAAGTTTCTATCTAGGACAGATTTGGTGCTCAAATGCAGCAAAGCTAACTATTTGATCATGATACTACAATGAAGTACATTTTGCTTCTTTTATTCCTGGCTAAAAAAACAGGAAGTTAGACATATGAATGGTCAAATTTCAATATAGCGAGTGAACAGTTAAAACCCAATTGCTTTGAAGATCAGCACTATGTTTTTCATGAAAGGAAAGTTCACTAATGACAACGTTATTTGTATTAATCAACTATGTAAAAGAATACAAGGGAAAAAAAAGTCAGAAGGGCCCTCATTAAGCTAGATGAAAAGGCAACACAGAGACTAATGAAGTTCAATGCTGATAAATGGAAAACAAATACCCCTTAGAAAAAGAGAAAGATGGAATTACTAGTACAATTTACTGCTCACTAAATTAAGCATCAACTCAAGAAAAGCAACTGGGAGTCTCTGACAACTAAAAAAGACCTAATGCTGTAGTCAAAAAGACAAATAATGTATTAGCTTGCAGTAAGACTAGAGAACCAGAGTAGGGTGAAAAAAAATGGGGCACATGAAGAAACGCTCATACAGGAAAGTGAAAATACTAGAACTATTTCTATTTTCCTTTTCAGCTTTAAAGAGACAGTATAAATACATATGAATAGGAGATTCTGTTCTTCACATCTGAACAGCAGTAAATCCAAAATCCTTTTCACCGGGGTTTGAGACTCACTTCCAGAAGATATCACCAAAACCAAATCTCAGATTCAGCGGGATGGGAATTTCACACGAACAAATTACAGTTAATCCTAAAAATGTTCAAAGGGATAAAAAGCCCTTCAGGCTTGAGAGTCTAAGTATATATTAGGTACCAATACAAGATCTTCTCTGGGAGTATGTTACTCCATACCTGCCACCTGTGGCATTGTGCACTTTTTATAATACATTTGATACCTAGGTACAACAATTTGAAGAAGTTTTATTCACAAAACAGAACAATTAAAAAGCTTTTAACAGAAATTATAGATGAAGACCCCAAAAGGTATTGAACTAACACAGAGGCTACAAATGCGAAATATAAATGGACACTAGAGTGATAGCAAACAATGTACATAATAATGCTTAAGAATATAAAAACTGCTAGCTCCATGCAGTTATCAAACTTTACTGCACAAACTTAAAGTAAGAAAGTGAAATGGATAAGTGAACACATTCAGAAAACAGAAGTGAACACATTATGATAGTGACATTTTCTAGTACTAAGATGGAAGAGCTGAAAAGACAAAAATTCAGTTGGAAAGAAGCTATAATAGTTCATATTATCTGTCACCTCACACCAGATTATGGCTACATTATAATGTTAATCTATTAAAGTTATAGGACTAGAAAACAAAGATACCTAAAAAAAAACAAAAAACAAATGAGACAACAAAGATCCCTACAGTGCCTTTTAAGACAAAGAATAAAATCCAATTTTCTGTTTAACTTTTAGGGCACATCTGGTTCAATGTGCTCACGCAAGACTCCAAATGAATTCAGAAGACTGTTCTGCAAGAATGGCAATCAGGTGGGACAAGGTGATCCTTGCAGTTCAGACAAGTGCATTAATGAGACAGCCTAGGGGAGACTGCAGCAGTGATATATATGCTACTTCCCTGAATAAGACTTCACTCTGCATAGCTGTTAGTCCAATTCTTTTTCACTACACTGAAGTCCCTAAATTGTAAAATGCAAAACAATTCATCAACTCCTAAATTTTGCCAGTTACAACTATTAATTCCTCCAAATATTTCATGTCATGAAAAACCATCTAAAATTAGATGATGCTTTCTGCAAACTTCTGCTCAACATTCATTTTACGTCAAGGAACTCATAGCAACAGGAAATCCTTAACAAGGAAAGTAATTTGAACACCAAGGTTTATATACATCCAGGCTCTTTACCACAAGCTGTGACAAAAGTGGTAGTAATATCAAAGAACTAGCACACCAACCAAGGGACAGAAGCAACCTGATCTGTCAGCACACTTGGCCACCACCCTTTAACCAAATACATTAAAAACACCCACGTATCAATCTTATTTACTAACAAAATCCAAGACCGGAGGGACTCGCTTAAGACTGCACGTGTAAAAGATACCTGCAACAGCCCAACACTAGACCATTCAATGCCTGACGCACAGCATTCATAGACATTTCCACATCTTCTGTTTATGCCTTAGGCTGGGGTGGATGGAAAGTGCCCTCAAAAGATGCCCTCGTTCTCATTACCTACAGGGAGGAAAGGGGCCGTGCCCAAGAGCACTCCTAGCTCAGGGCTAAGGTCCCTGCTGTACCAAAGCCCTTCTCCCTGGCACTCCTCTCCCCTCCTGTGCCCCAGCAACCTTATAGCTGCCCTCCTGGAAACGCCGGGGCCAAGGCAGCCAGCCTGAGAAACCAGCGCCCAGGCTTTCCACCCCGCTGTCACAAATTAAAAGACGACCGAGCCCCAAGTCCCTGTCGGGGAAGCTGAAGGACCTCAGGGGAGCGCCAGCGCCTAAAAAGAGGGAAAACCCACCACACAGGGCGGCAGCGAGAAGAAAAAGCCGCTTTCCCAGCACGACCCAGCACCAAGTCCTCTGCCGGCGGCAGCGCCCACCCCCAGCGCCGCCTGCCGCCCTCTCGCCCGGCTCGGGCGCCAGCAGGGCGGCGTCCTCGGCGCCCCCCGAGGGTGCTGCGAGCGGCCCCTGCGGGCGGCCCCCCCCCCGGCC